AGCTGCCGAAATGCCTCCCGGGGACCCGCCGCGTCCTGGCAGCGGAACTGCCGAAAACGCTGCCGAAATGTTTCGGGGCCAGGCCGGGATCCGCTGGGGCCTGGAGGGGAGCGCGGACCGGCTTCGGCCTGAGGCACAAAGCCCAGGGGTGTGGGCCCGAGCGGCACCTCGGGAGCAGCGGCGGGAGACGTAGGTATAGCTTCGGAGGTCGCAGCGTCGGGGCTGGAGGACGCGGGGGCAGGCGGCAAAGCCTCTGGAATTGAGGAGCCCTCAGTGTTACGCTCAAGATCTGAGCTCGCGTCAGCTTCTTCCTGTTTTTCCAACTGAGCCGCCGCGGAGCTCCGGGTGGCCGCCAAGCCGGGCTCCATCGTAGCCAAGACTCCAGTTCCGGGCATCACTCCTCGTCCAGCAGCTGCGGGCTCAACACTGCGTCTGCGCGGGGGCAGAGTAAGGGAGGAGACGTTTCCCGCTGACGGGCAAGGGTCCACGCCACCCCTGAAGAAGGTGGAAGCGAGGCGGAACGAGAGAGCGCCGAACTTACCTACACCTGCGAAACAGAGCAGCCGGAAGCGGAAGTCTACTCTGACGCCTCTATGATCAGGTCGGTGCACGAGCACCCGGAAGTTGAGTCCTGGCTTCTGGAAGTGGCGCCCTCTACTGTTAGCGAGTCACGTCAGGCGCCTGCGACGCCGACGTGGTGCGGCGCTGGGTTCCTGTCAAGGGTGGCGCCTCAGAACTCCAGTTCGAAGCCGACGAGGAGGAGGAGCCGGAGGAGGAGCCGAAGGAGGAGCCGGAGGAGAAGGAGGAGGAGGAGCAGGCTAGTGACGAGGTAGACTTCGAGTTCGGGGACCTTTAGGCGAATGGGACGTGGGCCGAGGACGGCAGGGAGAGTGCGGCTCAGTAAAGTCGGCTCACGCGGTGGGGCCAGCAGGGCGGTAGCGCGGGCGTTTCTGCGAGGATGGCCAAGCACGCCTCGCACAGAGTCAATGCTCGGGAACTCTTTGCCACTTTTTTTTTTTTTTTTTTTTTTGCGTGTCCTCTGAAGCCCGTGGAGCAGCGGCTCTGTGGGTTCTGCTTTTAACTTCAAGATTAGTCAGTGGACAGAAAACGCGTTGCCCCAAGTGGTGGTCACGAGCCACATGTATTTACTGAGGCCTTGGCATATAGCCAGTTCGAATTGAGATGTGCTGTCGTGTGAAATCCACACCAACGTAAACTATGTCAATACTTTATGTTGCTTACATGTGATGTATTTTGCATATGTTGGGCCAAATAAAATACATTATTAAAATTAATTCCAGCTATCTCTTTTTACTTTTGAAATGCGGGTACCTGAAAATTTTAAATTACACACACGACCTATATTATAATGTTTCTGTTCAACAGGTTTAGGCCGGAGTGTTGGCGTCAGGCTGCCTGGGTGGAATCCCCTCGGCAGAGTTTGCCTTGCTGCCTCTGACAGGGATAGCACTTGTCTCAGAGTTGTTGAGAGGATTAAGTAAAGCCCTTGGAAAGAAAGGGCATTTAAATGCTTTCTGTTGTTTTCAGGAGATGGACGGCTTGCTATCTCTGAGCTACAGTTTTCTTATCCATAAAGTATGGATGTTGTAGAATTTATTTCACAGAGCTGCTGTGTGAAGTTAGTGAGATGATGCAGGGAAAAGCATGTAGCTCTGACAGCTCTTTGGTAAATGGTGTTATATTGTCTGGGAACTGACTCACAAAAAAGGTTTTGTTTTGTTTTTTGTTTGCCAGAGAGTGTTTGCTAGAGAAAGAGAGAGGGAGAACACTTCATCCCCACCATGGGACATGGTCATGCTGAAATCCCTTCTCCTCCATGTCTCCTTTCTTTGGGATTTTGGGCATGCACATGCTTGGCGTGTTTTTCAGGCCACTGGATCCTGGATGCGAACCTCTCGGTAGGCTACATTGGATATCTTAATTACCAGGCTATGGGCTGGCCTCACAAATAGATTTTGTATCACCATTTTATAGGAAGGGGAACTGAGGCCTAGAGAGGGAGAGAGACCCTATATGAAAGATTTTGTTTGACATTTATACTCCTTTTGCCCTCTGTGCAGGACGGATGGACACCAGTACATCAGTGGCCCTGATAGAAAACTTGTCCCTCCCATATTAGGTAGCAGAAATGCCATGATATGTTTCTGTGCATAAATACATCACGACTTTTCTGACAACCTGATATATGTAGAAGTGGATCCTCATGGAACACTTTTTTTTTTAAGACTTGTTTATTTAAGTTTATTTATTCATTCATTTATTTTAATTTGACCAGAGAGAGTCAGTAAGAGAGAGAGAGGTAAAATGAGAAAGCAAGCCATCAGGTCTAGGACTTGAACTGTGGTCAGCTATGTGGAAGTGTCCAGTGCCTTAACCACCATGCCACCTGTTAGTCCTTTCATGGGATACTTTCTACAACCTGCAGACCTTGAAAGTCATTGCAATGGGTCTTTAATGTATTTTAGTTACTGACATATAAAAATTGGGAGATTTCACATGCATATCTGGATTTTTAGCTTCTTTTGGAAAATGTAGACCTCACCACACTGAAAAACATTAGTTATACACATTTTCTGCTAGTCAATAGTCAGCTGAAGCTGATTCCTTTAGACAAGCTACTCTTGTTGGCTGCAGTTCCCGCCATGCCCTGTTATGCTTTAAAACAGAACAATTTGCATTTACTATTGCTCTCAGGTTGTTTTCCTTAGAGCCCATATTTTCCTTTATTTTCTTTTTAGAGGTGGGAAAACAGAGATTTAATCTTTGTTTTATTTACTAGCTTCAAACCTTTACTTCTCCTGCCTGGCCCCTTAGCAGCTGGGTTTACTGCCCTAGATGAGCCAACAGTCCTGTTCGCTGCGTGGTAACAGGCAAGCAGTTTTCAGTACTAAGGAAGCACCAAACCCTCCTGCAAGGTTGAGCAATTATGGAAGGCTTCACAGAGGAGGGGAACCTTTGAGCTGAGATTCAGGAAGTGTTGACAGGGCCAGCCCTACTGAGCAGTGGTTAAGCACTGTGGTTTGAG